TGTATGGGCTTCACAATAACATAAGATTTTTAGGTTTTATAAGTTTATTTCAAAACAGTACAAATTACAAAAAATATACCGTGTAAACCTCCGTAACTCTAAGTTACATATATTGAATTGTAAACACTAAGTTAAAACTTGAAAGGAATGATTTTCTTTTCTTATTTACTAATGCAATTTTTAAAAGTGTAAGTAAAAATATCATTTATTTTCTGTCAAGTCGAAACATATCATAGGCACATTTCTTTTAAAATTGAAATTGACAAAGGCACAAAATGCAATATAAAGGCACATTGGATATTTGATTTGTAAAATAAATATGATAGAAGAAACACATACACACAATAACATTAAGTTACATCAATGACATGGAACACACATTCACAGTAAAATTGAGAAAATGTCAGTGATCATAAATTGACATCATCTCTTGAAACAAAATGTAAAGAATGTAATACCAATGTTAATTAAGACGGTGGGTCATAAGTATATCCTTTGGGCATTATACTTCTTTTAATACAATGAGGTACCGACAAATCGAATCCGTTTATTTTTTTTAACACGCAATTGCGTAAGCCTGTATGTACTAATGCGGTATACAAATAACCTTTACTTCAAACAATTGGACCCAAAATTCGCCACGTCTACATAAAACCAAATGCGAATAACCACAAAAGTAAAAATAAAAGTGTTAATCATGGTTATGTCCCAACGATGCTCTTACAATAACCGAATGTAACGTCGTGATGTTCGCCCTGCATCTAAACTTTACCCTTTGGCAGCAAGTCCATCTTATTTTGTTCCTGTAGCACTCATGCTTTATGAATTTGTGACCATCTACATGAACTACTGGATGACCTCTATTGGAAACGCCGTAAGTAACTGTAAGGGAAAAAGTCAATTAGATGATAAATGTCATAACAATTTTTTTTTCATAAATGTCAAAGCCATGTATGATTTGGTTATGATCAAATCATCAAAGCAAGTAAGTATAAAAAGCATTGTTGTTTGACCTTCTTATGGTATGATTCTTTTAAAACTGTTTTTTTTTCTCTTTTTCAGTGTCTTCATGATAAGGAAATTCCATTGCAAATTTTACTTTTAGATTTAGAAAATAATATTAGAAGTAGATCCTATCCCTCTTATTAATAAACGAAGAATAAGCTTGGATTACTTATTCCATATTTTATCTCTATTCATTGAATTGCAAATGGCATTTGAGTGATATGAACAATACACGGCGTAACTATGTGTCTGTGCTTATTCCTAGTTTAATAATTAGGGGGATTGTGTTAGTGTATTTACGAGCATGTTCTTGTAAGTTCCCTTTTATCAGTTTTGCAATTATTAACCAGAGTCATTTGTTGCAGTTGGATTGATTGGCACTGGGATCGACTGCTTTGCATCTTACTGCCTTAGCAAGCAAGGCAAGATGGGCATCAACGTCGGGGGCTACAGGTTTCGTTTCAACGGGTGCGCTAGAAATGGCAAAATCAGATGGCGATGCTCGAGAGGACCTTGGTGCAAAGCCGCTCTCCACACCTTTAGAGGAAGAATAGTTTACATACAGAGTACCCATAACTGCGGTCCCAAACCACCAGCTAACTGATTTACATAATCTGAAATACGATCTTGAACGTTTATATTAAAATTTTATTTGCTGTTAAGTACTCTTTATTCAAATTCAAATTATGAACATAATTTGTAGATATTTATATTAACAACTTTTGTTTGATTCCTTCTATTTTCTCTCTTAAAAGGTGTTAATAGTGTTAAATGTATAAGTTGTAAGTAATACATAATTTTGTTTAATATTTTAATAAGTATATTTCGATTTCTTTGCCGTGATAATAAAACAAACAAATATATTTGCAACAATGCAGATGAATGTAATTGACACGACGATACCTTAAGATATTTGAGAAAGTACAAAATCTAATTATATTAACAGTAAGAGTTGAAAATTAGAAGATATTAAATGTTAAATACACAATGGTAATGAGCTCAAACTGTACAGAGAAATAAAATCAAAGAAAACATATAATTTAATAAAAAAAACTTATTTTAACCGTCCCTGTTGAATTGTAAATAAATGAAGAATTTCGAAATGTTAATATTCTGTTAAGGATAAGTTGTAATTTTATATGTACCTATAATATTACCTCATAGCTCCAAAAGTTAGGATATTTTTATTTATTACGCGGCAAAATTAACAGTATTTTTACTATACAAATTAGCATACCGTAGATATTTACTTATTGCAACTTATTGCATAAAAAACGGATAAGTTATCCTTAATGCACGGTAATTTACTGAGCCGAAAGTATTGTTCTGAGTTCATGTTCTTGTTGACTGCTGTATCAACATAGCGCAGTGCGTTTAAACGAGGGTACAAATATTTCGTAATTTCAATAAACAGACCGTAATTGTTATTGACTTTGGTGGTAAAACCTAGAGTCCAGCTAACATATAACATAAATCGGATTGTTTGTACCATCAAATCGGCAAATCATATGTGGCTCTGTACCAAACAGTATATCGTAACTTATCCAAAACTGTTAGATTTCTCCAATTGATTTTGAGCTATATCTAACTTAATATATGCTTCAAAATCCACTGAGAAATTTGTGTACTTTTGGAAGTTCATTTATAACTGGCTGTTCGTACCTTTACTCTAAATTAGATAACTTATTTTTATAATTAAAGAAGATTAGCCCAGGAATTGTGATCAAAATTATCGTCAAGTCATTATCGTCTGAAAATGGTAAGATCGCATTACAAAACATGCTTCTTTGTTTATCAATTCAAAATTTCCATTCACCGCAATCTTTGTCGGCATCCGTCTGGATCGTGGATTTGTTCACAGGTTTATTTCTTGTTATTTTTATTTTGTTTTGTTCAGTTCAGTCTGCCAGACTTCATATTTAATAGAACATTTGACACTGCAGTTTTGATTGAATCCACCATTACTAAGTTTTTCTATTTAGCTTCAAAATTTTGAATAAATTGTAAACTTGAAATTAAATATGATCAGTGATAACAATAAAAAATAGATGTATTTATAATGAGTAGGCGAGCATACTTTGCAGCCATACTATATCAAAAGTACCTTCTACGTCATTACTATAACTAAGTAATGGTCTAATTGATCAATACTTACCTACATTACTGACATTACCTTTTCATATTATTTCTTTATTTACTGAAATGCTGATTAGATAATTTTCGATTTCATTTGTTGTTAATAAACCGTTACAATAAATTCGAAGATGTACAAATGCCAATGACTATAAAATAATTTATATACTTACAATATTACAAATAATTTTAATATTAAATATTTCGTTCAATGAGAATTCATTTAGTATTACGTCTACGAAAATTAGGATCGATACAGGGTTTTATAATAAGCAATCTCTAAATTTCACAAGATTGATATGAGAAAAAAATAATATTTTAATGATAAATGTGTATTGTTTAGCTAAGTCGTGTTAATAATATAGATTTTAAATGTAGTAAAATATATTTTCTACTTAAAATGTAATGTAATATTGTAAATATCTACCTCTGTACTACCTACCTACATATATACGGTGAAATGGCCAAGTTTACAAACAGGAGTATTATTATTTATATAAAAAATATATGACTTAAATAGGTCTGGAACTTAGCAAGATCTATTTAATCAATTTCATAGCGAACTTTTAACATTGTATGTAAAGAGGAACATCATACAATTTGAAGAAAATATAGAGAACATTGTACAAACATGCAAACAATACAAAAAAAAATTGATGATAATCATGCGTATAGGAATGTCGCCTAAAATTATACTTATTAAATGTGAATATTTGGCATCATAAAAAGATTATGGGAATTATGTACTTACATCGCCGGAAAAGAATATTGCGTTAATAGAGATGATGAAAGTCTATTTAGTTCGTCGGTTAGATTATCAGAAAATAATTGATTTATTTTTTCTTTTGTCAATAAACCAAAAGTTACACAAAGTTTGGAGCACGTCAAAGTTTGAAAGTGGGGGCTAGTGACATCACTTCTAAGTATAAATTGTACCAAGAAGTGACGTCATGCGACATTCAGCTGGAACTGCTTACCTCTACCTCGCTAAATTATAATCTGTGCTATATTTAACATAGATTATAAATTAATTAATTTTATTTTATGTTGTGATGTGTATTTTTATTTTATAATTAGAATATGGACTTTTTTGTTTCTTGTATCATTGGATTGATTTACTTACAAACGTGTTGGCATTATTAGCTGTAAATTTGTACTGTATTTGAATTCAATATTTCTCTATAATGTCTTGATTATGTGTATAAAGAAATAATACGTGTCCAACAATTGTTGATAATCTACCTGATAGACTAATAAAAAGTTTGTCATCATCCCTATTATCATCAATTCAGAGTGCAATTTTTTGTTGAAACCAAAAAACTGATGTAAATGTGTTCTATACAAAATACTAACACCCATTGTACGTACTTGGCGATGCGTGTCATTTCGGTTGTGTAATAGTTTTAAATTAATGGATATTACGACTTAAGTGAAATATGTCATATTGCCACTCGTAACAGTAGTGATAAATAACAGCCAAATTGTGCGTAGGAAATACGGATTGTACGTTTTATGTGTAACTTGATGTTTGTAAAAAAAATAAAAGTACCTAGTCATATTGTTGCAGCACTCGTTTCATTTTACCTTCAATACATTTTCTCTTACGTTCCTGTATCCTATTGCAATAATCTACACGAAAAATAAATATATTATTCCCATTTTGTCATGTCGAAGCTCTCATTATCCACAGTCAAATGTATACACATCAAATATTTTAAACTCATACATAAAAAAAAATGTATGTTAGTTTAAAGGTGAACGCAGACTTGGCCGCACCGCAGTCTCCGCTTTGTGTTAACGGCGTCGCACATCGCCACACGCATCGCACTTGATTTTATTCATTCAGTTGATGCCAATGGCGCCATCCGCGCCGCGCTAGCCGCAGCGCCCGCTGCGTGCGGGCCGGCGTTGGTGACGTCATCAACTGCGGCTTGGGGAGTTCGGCCGTTTCAGGGACTGCGGCGACTGCGACGCGGGTTGGTGTGCTAGGTTGCATACCTATAACTTCATATAGAGAATTCGAATGCGAAGACTGCGGCGCGTGCGGTGCAGCCAAGTCTGCGTTCACCTTAATTCTGTTTTCTTTTTTCATTTAATTTGCTTATTTCGTAACTAGTACCTAAGTGTTTTGAAATAGGTAACACGATAGCTCAAAATGTGTGTGGTGTCAATTAAACATATTTTGTGCTCAAAACCTAACTCAAATATTGAGTGGTGTCTATAAAAAGAATCTAGAAGAAAATCACTGGCCAAGGGTCTGCCAGGATTCGTACCTGCAACGGCTATAATGTTTTGATCACTTTTGTATTTAAACTTTATAGCGACACATGAGCAAACATATATTTGGAATATTTTGCTAATTCCGTTTGGACACTGTTGTCATTTGTTAAGCTTTAAAAAAGAACCGGCGCGTGTAAAAAGGAGAAGAGTTGTAAATATAAATATATACATGATTTTTTGAAAATAAAAATGCATGTTGATTTTTGAGACAGACATGGAAATAAGTAAAACTAAGTCTGATGTTAAAGGAATTAACTTTGATGACATATTAGAATGAAATAATAGAAAATCATTCTCTGTAAAATTGAGCTCGAATCTTTAAGAATTATTTGTTTAATACGAACCTTTATCTTTCATGCTGTCATCGCCTCCGTGTGTTTTCCGAGTTGGATTGACTACTACTAGAATTGCGAAATATTTACAATGAAATGCTCGTATTTTGACCCATTTTTATTTTTCACGCGTATCTTAAACATGTGTATGTACAGATGAAAATAATACCTCAATTACATAATTAAACAACGCACCTGTAAAATCCTTAGTAAAATAATTTACATCCTCAACGTGTACTTCACATTTAAATAAACAAATATTGGGTATTATGTTTATACAAATCTTACTCCTATCAACATTTTTCATATTTTTAATTAATTAAACTTAACATTGAGTCAAACTAAATGTAATGTAAACGAAAAAAATATGTTTAAATCAGCTTTTATACTAACAGTTCTTAAAAAGAAATATTTACTCATGTGAAAATTATGGACATCTTGTAATGTTACTATTAAAATAAAAAGTTTGCACATAATCATAATACCTATGTAATGAAGAATTATAATGAACAAAAGACGATTGGTTTAATATGTATCTATGTATAAAATAATGGCCTGCGCAGACGAAGGGCTGTCTTTTGCCGCGGAAATGTTTTTTTACGATTCACGGACAACAGTCCCTGAATCGTAAAAAAACATTTCCGCCTAGGACTTGATACGGGCTCAACGCACACAGTGGTGTCGATTCTGGCATATTCTCTAAACTTAAAACTAAATTTAAGATCAGTCTCCCCTTTTCATTCTATATTCTATTTTGTATAGAGAATGACAAAGATAGACTGTTTTCAAATTTAAGTTTAGGTTTAGATAATCGTGCCAGAATCGACACCAGTGTGTAGATATTTAGATAATTGTATGCTATGGAATATGGAAGTAAACTTTTTAGATTTGGTTGTGTCGAAAATAACATGAAGTTGAAAATATTTGTCTTTTTAAAAGAGAATACTGGGTCCTCAGATTACTGAACAAAAGGCAGATGGAGCGCACGGTACATGCAAAGCGGGCCACCAAAACAATTATAAAGTCAAAAATAAATGCCTTTTTTGTCTTTGTTAACAGTTTTTATATATGAAGAAGGCGACACTGTTTTAATAAAAACCTAACACTCACGGGACCTATTCACAACACGATGCGTTGTGGTGTACAGACGCAAATTGATAGTCGCTTTTGAATTCGTATTTGCTATGGTGCCACATGCGCGATTAGAGAGAGAAAGCTAGCGGTCTCTCATCTTTCTCTTTCTATTAGAGGGACACTTCTACTTGTAGTAGAGTCTCTATATCTCCCCTACTCTATTCTTATACCTCTATGGTTCCGTGCGCTCAATCTGCCTTTTGTTCTGTAATCTGAGAACCCAGTATTCTCTTTTAAAAACACTTCTATTTTCAAATTCATGCTGTTAACGACACAACCAAATCTGAGAATGTTTACTGTTCCGTGCGCTCCATCTGACTTTTGTTCTGTAATCTGAGGACCCAGTATTCTCTTTTAAAAATACTTCTATTTTCAAATTCATGTCATTAATCAACAGGAACAACTTTTATTCTGTGACCAACGCTGAAATCGTTAATGAACCGAAATGTATGAAACAGCTGTTTTTTTTTATCGATTCCAGAGTTGGTCCCATAATAAAAATTGTTCCTGTTGATGGGTAGAATCCCTAAGAGGTTGTTGGTGTTATAAAATTAACCCTATATATTACGGCGGACAAAAAGTAACCACGGACAAAACTCCTTCGTCTGCGCAAGCTATTAAATAAATGTTTGCTTTTACGAGATTATCTGTTCACCGGATATGACACCGTGCTCCTCTTTCAAGTGCTCAAGGATACTAGATACGTTGCTGTCGAGGTCGCTGTCCTTCGAACATCTGTAGCGGCATATCTTGCAAGAGAAATAATCTTCTGCGCTCCTGTCAAACACTTTCCAAACCCAGTTGTGGTCGTCCGCTAAAAATTGTTATAAGACCCTTCAGACGATTGTCAAAAGCAATAAGATATTATAGTAATAAATGTTTATTTTACTTGAAAAACTTTTTTTTATGCATCCTTAAAGTAGTATATAAGTTACTTAGTAATTTAAAAGTATCATACTTTTAACAAACATATAATTGAAACAACGCCCTCTATCAGAGTGTTAATGAAAACTAGTTTCGTTCCACGAATTATGCGCTGCTTGAAAGTATTTGTTATAACAATAGAGTCCTTCTTTCGACATCACAAATATTTGTCGCTTAAAATTGTTTTTCCTTATATTAATATTCCATACTGACTGGCCTTTAGCAGAGCAGCTTAAACACCTCAAAGCCATCGGAATTTACTTTTAGCGTTTAGTGAGCCAAAGTTGGTCTTCATAAACAGAAAACAGGCAAAGTTGCACACAAATACAGTCCTATTTTGCGATAGGCGATTATTTCAAATTTGTCACTGACAAATGTGATTTTTATGAACAATGAACGGTTCAGCTTCTAGCCATTATGGTTCTTAAATCCCAAAGCTGTCGCTATAATTTGTACGAGTATTTGTAAAATCATATCTTAAAGATGTGATAGGCTAGGCAACTGTGGCTATTTATATTTTAGAAATTGAGATGTCAATCAGCAACCAGCAAAAGTGGGATCGCTGAACAGTTGCTGTAAAGACCTACATTATGTTAAATTTAAATTTAAAGGAAGGTGAGTAGTATGCATTGATAACTCGAAAAAACTAATAGAAAAGCCTATTGTGAGCATTTCTACTACACAATCATAAATCAATATAATATATGCAAATGTAGCAAAAAACAGATTTATTGCACTCTCGTTGTTTGCGAGTTTCTCCGTCACGATGCAATCGTGGCGCTAGTGTCCAAGGCAATTGATTTCCAAGGCAAGGCTATTTGATGAGCAACTTGCATACAAAACACAGACTTTCCAACTCAGTCACGATTACAGATGTAGAGATGTTCTTCATAGTCCATTTTATATAAAATTGGGGAGCTCGATGGCACAGGTGGTTAGCACGTTCGGCTGCGATCGTTGAAGTTAAGCAACTTTCGCAGTGGTCGTTCATTGGAAGGGTGACCACAAAACTTCTATCTCGATTTCCTCCGTGCTTCGGAAGGCACGTTAAGCCGTTGGTCCCGGCTGCATCTGCAGTCGTTAGCACCCGCCAATCTGCAGTGGGCCCGCGTGGTGCGTCATGGCCCAATCTCCCCATTCCATCCATAGGGAAGGCCTGTGCCCCAGCAAAGGGGACATTAATAGGCTGATGATGATGATGATATAAAACAACTTTAATGGGCTTTCACTGTCTGCACGAATTAAAAAGCAGTTAGTCTATTTTTAATATTTATACTATATATCTTTCTGCACGCTGACACCCGCGTGGGGTAGGCAGAGATTATAGAGCGCAATAAGACCATAGAGGTATAATAATAGAGTAGGGGAGATATAGACTCTACTACAAGTGGAAGTGTCCCTCTAATAGAAAGACAAAGAAGATGAGATACCGCTAGCTTTCTCTCACTAATCGCGCATGCGCATTGGCAACCGTAAGCATTGCACAATTTCGATGTGATGCCATTGGATGCCATGCGTCACAAGAGAGATAGCTAGCGGTCTATCATCTTTCTCTTTCTACGAAACAAGACACTTTTAGAGCCGCCTTCCCCACTCTATTCTTATACCTCTATGAATAAGACACGGCTACAGTGTGGCCAAGATCTTGTAGCACTTAGATGATATAGACAAGAGGGCGCTGCTGGTGAATAAATGGTAAAATGAGGACTACTATGTACGTAAAGTCTCCTCACTTAACGGAACGTTATAATTAATAATAACTCTAAAAGAATAATAGGCTTATTTCCACTTTCCTCTATAAATAAAAGGCTTATTTATACCTTCTTTAAAGTAGTAAAGAAGTCCTAGTTCCAATTTCGGCCATGCGCCACAAGATGTTGGTTGCACTGTATCCATATTAAATAAATAAATATTTCCAACACTCACACCAATTAGCCTAGCCCCAAAGTAAGCACTGTAAGGCTTGCGTTATGGGATACTAGGGTAACGGATAGAATACATATATATTTCATATTATATAGAAATACATATTAAACATCCATGTCTGGAGTACAACTGCTCGTATTCATCACACATACATCTACCCCCACCGGGATTCGAACCCTTTTTTTTTTAACTGTTGGGAAAATGCTTGACGCATACCCCGCTCCTGGATGAGAGGCGGGGTTATGTGGGACTCCTCCACCGGGATTCGAACCCGGGACCTCTCATGTCGGCGTCACCATGAAACCTGGCGTATAAACCACTCGGCCAGAGAGATCGTCGAATATTAATTTATCAAAACTTAAGTCAGGATTGAATGATGCTTACGTGCTGTTTTATGATGTATCATCTTCAAATGCCGGTTCATGTTGCCAGTGGCATTGCCGCCGTGACATATGTTCCTTTTGCACAACTTGCACTGAGCCAAGGTGTTGGATACACGATTGAAGTAAAGCCAGATCCAGCTGCGCCTTTGGAGTTGCTTCTGGGTCTTGGTTTCTACAAATAACGGAGGTTTTTCATTAGCTTTAGGTATATAATATTGGAGGAGCTCGATGGAGCAAGTGGTTAGCATGTTCGGCTGCGATTGTTGAAGTTAAGTAACTTTCGCAGTGGTCGGTCATTGGATGGGTGACCAACAATTTACTATATTGAGCTCATGCATACTTTGACAGGCACTTTAACACCCACCAATTCACAATGGGCCCGCGTGGTAGGTCATAGCCCAATCTCCCTATTCCATTCATATGCAAAGCCTGTGCCCAGCAATGAAGACATAAGTAGGCTTATGATGATGATGATTTAATATTGAGTGCTAAGATTTTGATTTTTCTTTGGTGACAACATAAGAGAGGAATAATAAATTACAAGTATAACTACTATTACTGCAGCCTTTTACTCCACCCCAAACTGTCACAGCGGTTTAATATTTGCATTAAGAATATAATAAAATTTTTGTATGGTCTTTAATATGGTCATATTCAACATAAAGCATAAATTTTTAGATAAATTTAAAGAAAATTCATAAAATATTTCAATAATAGGTATATCGCTTTTTGTCAGACAAATTGGCTAAACGATGTTCATTTCCAATATCTCATCCCCACCAAAACATTAAAGTATTTATTTGCAAGTTTTGCTACTAAAGAACTATTGTTATTGTACTCGTACTTGTGTAGTTTTGTGGAATGCTGCCAGTAAATTACACAAGTATGAAATTTAATGTAATAATTTTATAATTCTTAATTAAGTAGTTCAGTACTAGTTAGTTTCGATGGAGCTGTCATGTCATCAGACAAAAGCTCCTAAACAAAAAAGATAATATAAAAAAAGTATTGTTATTTTTCGATAATTAACGAAAATACTAAGCTGCGTATTAAGTATATATAATGTGCTTTAAATGCCAGAATTTTGACATACACTGATTTCTGGTAATCATCCAGTAATTCATATAGAGTATTTAAATTTTTGTAATGTTTTTATCTGAAATGGAATGTTATAATGAATGAGTAGGTTTATTATAGCCGCCGCCCACCATAGATGTACAAGTAATTTGATTAAATAGGCTGGTTCAAAGTGTTTGATCAAAAAATCATATTTCTGCATGACAGTTCGTAACTCATTTTGTTCAAATTATGAACTCCCGGGCACTAAGAAAAAATAACAGACTTACCTATTTCGTATCTGTCAAAATCAGCAGTTATTATATCTTCCTGCACAGAATGCTGATCTGTTTCTACATTTGAATCAAGATCCTGCAATTTTTTTTGAGACATTTCTGCTTCAAAGACACTTGGATGTTTAGTTCGCACATGACGATTCATGTTGTTAGTGTTGCAACCTTTGATAGAGAGTATGGAATTGCATAATCTGCAGCGGTACATTATGTCACTGAGGGGATCAAAATATTTCCACACCCAACTCTTTTTCCTCATTTCTGAAAAGTAAGTAGAACTATGTTTACAGGTGAATTTTTTAAGTGGATGTGTGTGGTCACATACTCTGTGAGGAATAGCCGAGAGTACCCAAAGAATTGTCAGGTTAAAGTTTGATTGAAAGTAATTGGCATTATTGTACTATTTTAAACTTCCTGGCTAGGAAAATCAGTTTAAGCTAAGGCTTTGATTTTTAAGCCATTATTAACCATGTGCTGTGGTAAATCGATCTTGTCTCAAAGATTACTTTCCCTGGGGAAAAACACAATCTACAAAGTCCAGTTTTTATATAAAACCATAAGAAAATATTCCTGCATATAGTGCATGCAGAAATATGGAATTCAGCTATGAATTGAAAAAAATTGCCAACACAACTAATCAGTCGATAGTTAAACAGCAGGTAATTAGAAAATAGATGTATTTAACAAAAAATTAGCACTTTCGAAGGAAAGTGCTAATTTACATATCACAAACTTTTTCATTGTAAGTGAAACTATTAAATGTTGTTTTAATTTAAATATTAAATGTTGTTTAAATTTTTTGTGAAAATGGAAATATTCAATTTCTGATTAGGCATCAACAATCCAATGAAGCTGTTATAGCTTTCATCATTAGTGGCCTTCTGTATTTAATTTTTATTTTCTTTAGATATTTAATATATTTTTTATAAATATTACTTGCATTATACTTTAATACATAAAATAGCCTTACCACTTTCACGTCTTATTTTCTTTTTCAAAATTTTTGGTTCATCGGCATCGTGCTTTATAATAGTCACTTTTTCTGTCTCTTCCGACTCTGCCTCGCATACTTCTCCGATTATTACTGGTTGAGTTTTTTGATCACCATCATCATTCAGCACGTTCAAATGAAGAAATTCTATGCGGAACCCCACTGTTGCTTCAGGGTTTTCTTTGTGTAGATCGAAAACCTCTTTATGGCTACTTTTGATATGTTCCATCAATTCAGAGGATTTTTCATCGACATACAGAACTGTCTCACATATATTGCACTTCATTTCATTGTCCTTAATTTTCATGTAATAAATGGGCACCCAATCAGGTAATTCTGTAATTTTTTATGTTTTTTCAATTAATTTTGTTTGAAGATACAAATACAATCATATATCATAAACTACAAACTAAATCAAACCTAAAAGTTTAAAATAAAGGAGGTAATAAAAAACTTTTCACAGTAAATCTCGTTTAATTTTCAAACTTCATTGTTACACAGTCATTACAAATCATTTGATGTGAGGAATACAGCAAATTTGATTTTAAACATTTTGATCATTTATTGTTGTTTACATTTTTAAACTATGCTACAGACAAAACTCAAAAATGCCTAATTGCAATAAATAAGAATAGCTTTTCAATAATTAAATTCAGCTCCATAATTTAAAAAAACATATTTTACATGGGTGCCATACAATGTCAATCAGTAAACATTGGCTTTTTATGGTTATGAAAGTCTCTCACCACTTCCACGCCGTATGTTTGCATATTAATGACGGATATACAACCTGTTTTCTGGCGAAATGAACAGCACCACTGCTCCGCTCCACATTGTAACTTGCTTCTAAAAACATAGGTGTACCCCTTATACAGAATTTGGTGACCTTTTTTTGTTGGAACACATTGCACATAATCGTCACCTAGAAACCAATATCCAGATTACTAAATTATCAGTATTTTCACCTTAAAACTTGCGTTTATGTAGATAAACGAAATTTTTCAATAATATTCAATTCGCAGTAACAGAAGAACTGTTTATATGGAAACAACCTATAATTTTATAAAACTACATTAAGTTTCAACTCATTCTGATTATATGGGTAAATGATGAGGAGATATATATGTTCAATGAATAATTTAGCATACAAATAAACAACAAAACATGAAAATAACAAAATTATTGTTAAAAATATTGGTACTAGCGAAAGTGACGCAACTCATTTGTCAAATTGACATCCGTGAAGGGCTTCTAAATTTCTTCCATTAGTAAGACAAAGGATTTTAAGTTTTAACAGCCAAATCTTAATCGTTTGTTTTTTTTTATTTGCACCTATGTTTCTAACACAACGAGCTAAACTAGGTACTACGAATCTGTTTGTAAATCCATATAAAGAACTCATATTAATGTTTTAGGGTAATAAACTAAGCACTCATTTAAAATATAAGAAAATATTGCCTGGTACATCGAGAGAACGAGACAAAGAGCCTCCGTTATGACTATCTCACCGTGCCCGGATTTGGCCTCTGCATCCAACAACGTAGAATAAATTGTAAAAGATAATGTTATTTATTGATAGTTACTATTTATATAAATATGTAAGCACTTATAATTTGTTTTCTTAACAGTCTTCTATTAGTATTAGAAAACGATAAAAATTATTGGATGAAATCCATTAATTCGTTCATATGTTATCTTAGAGCATATACCAATGTTATGGCGTGACTAGGGTTGCCAGTTAGCCAAACCTAACAGCCGGACAGGCCAGCCAGTATAGCCGGACATATGGGTAAGAAGGCCGGACACTACAATATTGAGGATTATGAATATTATACGCTGATGCTCGCTCGTTTGCGAAATGTAAAAAGCCCAACAAAAGGTGGACACCGTTTTTTTGACCGGATACGTAATCAAACAGCCTATGTCCAGCTTTATCCGGACGCCTGGCAGCGCTAGGCGTGCGTGACCAATGACATGACCAAGGGGTTTTTTTTTATTTAATCATATACCTTCAAATACCTACTTATATTTAAGCCCAATGATTACACGATTTACTTATTGTATTTATTTTCAGCTATTTGTTTTATAAGGAATATTGCTAAAGAAAATTTGACCTTAGCTCCTCATTTAAATGATTAGGTAAACATACCGGAAGGTAAAGTAGAAGCGGTAGACAATTATAAATAATATTTATTAGATACCTAAGTGCGAATGTTTTTTTATCACACTGATTACTAATAAAATTAGATTCTATGCTATTTTGGTGAAGATAAGGTTACAGTATTACCTAATCCTGAAACCTAATTAAGTTAGGTACCTAGGTAAGTTAGGTAACTTGACTGCACATTTTATTGTTATTCTGTTACTGGCTCCTGCTCTCAGTAAGGTTATCTTTCTACATTTCACGGTCAATGACGTATAATATGTTTATATTATAAGACAGGTTATACGCCAACATAATTGCATTCTAAAATGGCAGTAGTAGTCCCAAACTTCCCTTGGCAATAGTAATCTCTTTTACTGTCTAATTGTATACAGCAAATTATATCTCGCTCTTTAGCCTCCATTTGTCAACGGTGTCAGCAACTGTCAAAATAAGTAATAACTAAATATTTTTACATTAATTTCTTTAAAACTATAAGTACCAATGAAATGACACGTTTTTCTTGTCTTTCATAATCCCCGTGTAATTTGTGTATTATCAAAAACAAAAAGCGCTTTTTATCTGGAAAGATGTAAAATATTAACACGTTGTAGCGCAGTGTAGACACCGCGAGGGAGCGCGCCCGACTCAAAAGTACTCTTTGGTCCGACTGAATGCAAATCGGGCAATTACCTGACTTTCGTATTGCCAAATTAGAAGCGCGTATGACGGTATCTACAACAATAAAACATCATTGTTCCCGGCAGAAAATAATTACAGAAAGTGTAGTGAAACTAATAAGAATTCATAAACGAGCTCACTTAAACAGACACTAAAGTTTCAAAAATGTTCTAGCGAGATTACCCCAAATCATAACATACCCGAGATTATAACAATATTATGGTTTTGCGAATCTCTCTGATTATTTCACTTATAGATTTTATTTAATAATTATATTTAATTTTATTAAATAATTCAAAATAATTAACAGATGTTTTCCTCTCATGGAATAAGGAAATTCAGCCGCATAATCCCAATAGATACCTAAGCTAAGTTCATAATAGGTAGTTTATTAAAATCGATCTAAATATTATCGATGTCCGTCCCATGAACGAATGATAATAAGATTAGTCTCTTTTTAAGTTTTTTTTTACTATAGACAGGCATTTTTTCTAAATCAGTTGCTTTGTGTGTCCTTGACAGGCTTCCTCCCTGAAATGGATGGTAACCCCTCTGCGTGACAAACCACGCGGATCAATTGGTGGATATTAATAACTGCAAATGCAACCGGGACCAACAGCTAAACGTGCCTTCTGAAGCACGGAGGAGCTCGAGATAATAAGCTTTTGGTCACCCCTCCAATGATCGACCACTGCCAAAGTTGCTTATCTTCCACGATTGCAGAATGAACGCGCTTACCACCTGCGCTATCGAGCTCCTGATATTGAAAGTAATTAGTTGCACCTAGCTAAAAATATTATCATGTGATAATTATTTGACATTGGCGAAAACGATGAGCGATATTGTTATTAGGACTTACCAACGTAAATATATTTTAACAAAAAAATAATTTGCTATATTTATCATCCGAACTTGACTCCTTTGAACTGAGTTGGGAGGTATAAAGCTGATGACGTAGGTAGGAATGATAAACATGTAAACGATAGATATTCTGTACTTTAACCAATAATAAGGAATACAATAATATTGTCTGTGAAAAACGATTTATTCTCACTCCACCGCACATAATAGCAGGTTGGGTTGAGTCATTTGTCGGACCTTATAATAAAAATATCCTATAATGTATAATAAAGCGAAATATGAAAAGCCCAGTGCAATTGAAGCACTGGATCCTTGGTATTTTTATGTATTTTCTTCATTGAGTGATTACTTGCTCAGTGCTCTCAACTACCTACAACATGTGTATGTTTTCTATTCTACACCCGTTTTTAGATTTCCGACTATCGAATTAAGACAAAAAGTGAGCAAAAGCAATCACGTTCTTTGAGTTTGAATCTTTCTTTCTTATATCATAATTCTCTTGAATACCAGCCGTTACACTAGAAAATAAATTAGAAAAAGGATGGTATTGCACGCCGTGGGCGTGACATTGGTGTCGATTCTAGCGTCATTCTCTAAACTTAAAACTAAATTTAACATCAGTCTCTCCTTTTCATTCTGTATAGAGAATGACAAGGATGCACTGTTGTCAATTTTAAGTTTAGCTTTAGAGAATCATGCCAGAATCGACATCAGTATCTACCTACTAATTTTTATCACTATGAATACAGAACGCAGAAAGAGTATATCTTTGTACGTACTTTGTTTCGCAATGTAAGTAAATAAAGTACTCCAGAGCGAAATATTTAGATTGGTACTAACTGCTGCATAAAAAAATTATCACTAAACTCACACTGGGATCAAAGTACAACTCGCCAAACAAAACAAACATTAGTAACCTTGAAGTTCGACTGCGAAGCAAACCGGAGCGAAAATAAATTTATTAGTAACACCATTATCAAATATAACTCGGTAAGTAGGCAGTTATTGTGTCGTTTATTTTAACAAAGTTACATTTCACTGAGGCTTTACATACAGGCCCTTTCTGGATACCAGTGCTGCTGTGACACGTTTTGTGGCGTGTTGTGGCAGCATTATGCTGAGGCAGGGTCCTGATTGACCATATATAATAGTATATTAATCTGGTTTATTTCTTTGTTGTTTAGTAACGTAGTCAATAAAATGTTTCTCTCTTAATTCGCCAATACCAAAATCGCGCGCGACATGAATCTGTTTCAGTGTCGTAAAATCGATGCATGCATTGTAAAACTGGACTTTTACACGTGAAATTGTTGATGAAATTAATGTTACGGGGCTACGTTCATCTCCGCTTAAATTAACATTAACTTAATAATCAATTTAGTTGCGTGATGGCCCCCTGGTGTCGTGGAGGGTCTACATCTGAGCTTTCGAGAATCATTCCAACCCAACCAAGACCCATGTACTTACATCAAATCTCCTCGGAGTGTCCCGCCACCCACTGTAAGTCACTAGGCAATCATCCTTCGAGGGATATCACTACTTTAGTTTTAGGGAGAGATATCACTACTTTAGGTTTAGTACTGCCAAACGTTTTATACATGTCAACTTTGGCTGAGATATACAAAACGTTTGTTTATTGTGCTGCGAGTCCAATATAATGACGCCGTTCGCATCCTGCTCAAAAAACCGCGTTATTGTAGTGCCAAGGAAATGTTTGCTGAAGCAAATGTTCCCGATTTTTTCTGTATCCTCAGATCGCGGTCCGCTTCGTTCTGGGAGAGGCTCCGTGAAAGTGGGAACTCCATTCTCCGCAACATCTACGATGACGTGGACAATGTATTTTTTAAACATTGGAATAAATTACATCGTTTTGGAAATGACAGTCTGAAATAAACATTCAGCAATTCATATGTTATTTTTTAGGTAATTTTGTAATATATACAGTTTAATTTTTATTTTTTATTATCAATTTTGTCATATGGGTCTTTTGCCTGAAATAAAGAAATTATTATTATTATTTAGTTGTTCTACCGTTTACCACTGTATTGATTCTATAGCCCAGGGAAATGGCGCCTCTTTTCTGCTTGCTACATAGCAAGTAGTGTCGTAAGACACTTCCGCAGTACCATGGACCATTAATATAATTGGTCCATGGCAGAACCTACCAAACTATTATTAGGTAAAATTATAGTTCGGTGGTGACCTTGATCCTTCTTATGAGATCCTGATATGAATCTTTCGTCCAACAAAATAAATCACAGATTATTAAAAAAATTATGTAACTAAGTTAGTTTAGGATTGGAATCAACTTGTCCTGTGGCTGTTGCTATAAACTGATACCCTTAGCACGAACCAATATCAAATTCGTATCGTTTGCGAGTCCTAAATGTCAATGTCAAATTGTCAAATGTG